CTTGCATACTTCTCTCACTGGTTAATTTTATTTCGAGCTTTTAACTGGAACCTATTAATCGGCTTCGCTTTAGTTTTTCTCACGCTAAATCAGGCATCACATCTGTTCATCGGAATAGGTCAAGTAATATATCGTATTGCAGCACTTTCGGACGTTCTTTCAAAATTGAAAATTATTGATTTTTGGTCTATTTTCGAGCAAATAAAGCAAGCGGGAATTATTCATGCTTGATTTATGCGTTTACAATAAGATATTTATGTATTCAAGTAGTAGTTTAATAACATTTAGTTGTACTCAGGTAAATTTATTTTTTGGGACCCTTAACAGCAGTGTGAGGGTCAACATCTCCAAAAATTCCAAAATTGAAAAAAAAAATGATTTTTTAATTTTTGATGATTTTAGTCATTTTTTGAAAAGTTATTGTGCAGTTTGCTTGTTTTACTGTGATTGTCGAAAGTGAGTAAGCTTTTTGTCCTTTTAACACAGCGCACAAAAAACTTTTATTACACATCCTTTTATCACACAGCGCACAGAATTTTTTTTGTTGTGTTTTTAAGATTATGATCGGAACAATCTGTGGTTTTGCACAATAGTTTGCTATCTTTGTTATTTTGAAAAAGTATTTTAACGATTTTGAAATAGTTCAGTTCGTACAGGATGCACTAAGAGTCTTTCTAGCCTGATTTTATCATTCTCATCTATTCGCATCAATATGGAGGATGTTTTTTTCAATAAGAGGAAGATTTTCAATTAAATAAGGCGGCTGCTTTTCTACGCGGATACAAATTCATACAATAACCAATTTGATAATCTGAAAGACACTTTATCATGAATTACATTGCTACCAGGGACGTTTCTAGAACTTTTTGAGGAGGCATGCGGAGTTTCAAAACAAATTTTTCTTTCAGAACGATTTGTGAGCTCTTTGAAAACATTGTTGCTATATATTGCAAACGCTTTCAGCGCCGAAGCATTAAATAAATTCCCAAAAAAATTTGTTGGAAAGAGTTTTGAGCAATAACTGCATGTTATAACTGCAATTTTTGTTTCTCAGAGTTGGTCTGTATTGGCCCCGAAGGTGCTTGTAGCTCATTCTTAAAATTGTTTAGCTGAAAACAATTGTCGGGCAACAGTACTCAATAGTGTTTCTTATGGGGGCTAAGGGATTCGAATCGCTGAGGGTGTGTTGTAGCCAACATTTAAAGACGCTTTAAACATATAAGCGCTCACCATCTACTACATAAAAGGGTGCTTTTGATGAGTTATTTTTTTCGTCAGCAGCGCCCTCCGGAGGATTTCAAACAAATTTTCAGCAAAAAATGCAAGCTCTGGCTCTTCTCCGCGTGACATATCAATTATAGGGCAAAATTTTTGGGTTTTCAAATGTTTATTTTCAAAAAACATCTGCCTACATTTTTGTAATTCTCATAACGTCTCAGTTTTTCACTCATAGGAACCAAAAATGGCAAGACATTCTCTAACATGAAATTTTCGAAGCAAAAATTTTCTGGCTGTATATAACGAAAACAGTTTTGACCATAGTTCTGTGTGAAGAAGTCCTCAATGATTAGGGTGGGTTTTTGAATAATGCCAGTATTCAAGGCGTCTAATTAAGCCTGCAGCCCCTACTATTGGCATCTTTGAGTCCTTACATTGCATTGAAATAGCTTGCACCTTGCATGATTTTTTTTAATCATTAACATTATTTCGAGCCTTTACTGGAAATTTGTATTTGCGTGTTTGAATTTTTTCCACCCAAAACCCGGTACTACAATTAGTCATCGGAATGGATCAAAAAATGAATCATATCGGATCCCATTTTAATGAATTTTTTTCAGTATCGGGAAAACTTGTTTGAATCTTTTGGTCATTGGTCTATTTTCGAGCAAATAAAGCGAGCGAGCTGGCTTGTTTATGCCTAATTTAGGCGCTTACAGTATTTTATATGTACCTAATTTTAGTTAAACACAAAAAATTTTTGTTGTTGGAGATTTCTAACACCACTTTGGGAATCAAGAACTTCAAAGATTCAGATACTATAGCAAAAAAATTGAAAACGTTTTTGATTTTTTGTTTTCGAGTCTTTTTTCTAAAATACAAGGTTTTCCAATTTGTTGAGTCCTCTGTGAAGCTGTATTTTTTTTGCTCATATCCTTCTATCACACCACGCCAAAAAAAAAAATCTTTTACTTTATAGTCGGAACATTCTGTGCTCTTGCTCTGTAACTTGCTATCCTTGATATTTTCTAATTTTCTCATCCTTATTTCGAATAAAACCAGTTTCCATCTCATGCACCAAAATCTATTTTGCCTTCTTTCATCACTTCTCAACCAAATTCATCAAAATGGAGAATGTCTTTTCAATAAAAGGTTGTTTTTTCTTTAAATTAGGAGGCTGTCTAGTGGTTTCTTATATGTAATTTGTATGACGTATATTTTCTATAAACCGATCACATCTCAAAGACTCTGGATTACTCAAAACTAGAGCCATCATAGGCATTGGAAACAACCTGAGAATCGATGTCTTACACAAACAATTGGCCAAGCTGGCAATCTTTAAACCCTCATGATTTTAAGGAAAAAACCACTGGTGAAATTTCTTTTCCTGACTGAGAATAAGAAAAAAGATTTGAAAGAAATTCCAAGTTGGTCATGAGAAAACGCTGAAAATTGGAACAACAAGATACACAAAGTAATATTCATGGCAAAAACGGTAGAAAAGGAAAAATCTCTCATTTTGGCATTCCAACTTTCACTCAAAGGAATTTTAGATACCTTGGAAAAGAAATACAAAAAACCAAAAAAACAGCCAAGGAAAAACGCAAAACATGAAACTGTTTTTTGAGGAACACTTTTAGTTTCAGCATATGCAACCGAATGGAATTAAACATCATACTTCTCGATAAAAAAATAGAATTGCTAAAACAAAAAGTGAATGTATAGTGCATAAACAGCCAACAATGGCTAAGATTTAGAAATGATGAAAAACCAATATATAAAGCAACGTGACGAAGTGTAAACTTAATTCTAAGAAATTCTAGTTAAATTTTTGTGATTGGTCAAAGAAACGAGCGGGTGTAGGTTTTTTGGATATTTTATGATCAAGTATCTATATTCTTATACTCATACCCTCAAAACAGACAGTACATGAGCGACGGCACGCGAAGAGCGATGCACGACAGTACACTGATATGTATGACTTCAATTTGATTATTATTCCTTTCTTACGCTACTTCGACATTATTTCATTGAACAAAATTATGAAACTTTAATTTTTTTGTTTGTCTGTCTGAATATATTTTTTAAAATTGTCAATTGATAATGCCGTAAATTGTTGGATACAAAAGAAATTAAAATGTTTTTTTTTTTGATAATGAGACCAAAATTGATCACGCATTTGTTTCTTGCCTGTACAAATTGCATATATTTTCCTGGCAACCGCTGCAGGAGCGAATCTAGAATTTTCTCGAGCAGAGAGGGATTTTCAAAAAAAAACCGAAAGTTTATCCGAACTTTTTTTTTTACGTCGCCCATTTTTAATCACTAATAAGACCCTATTTTGAACAAATGTTTCAAGCCGCAGACATATTTTGGAAAAAAAACAGTCCAAAAATGTGTTTTTAAGCACTTTTCGAAAAAAGTAGACCAAAAAATTGTGTTTTTTTTGGCGCCGAAGGCCCTTCTAGAAAATTTTTTAAGTCAGTCAGCCAAAAATGGATTATTCAAATAGTACAGAGGGAATTTTCTGGATTGGCAGGGGGTCGAAATTTAGATACATCTTTTAAGCTAATAGATTATATTTAATTAACAAAAAACTTGCATCCTATCCCCATTTGACCCTCTTTCTTCAAATACGCTCGGCAGGTGAGTGGGAAAATATAAGAGATACAAAATCCCCATGCGTGAGAGCGCTGAAAAAGGGAAAAATTAAAACAATAGCCAATTGCATGGAATCGTTCTTGCAAAATTACAGAAGCTGCTTCAAATTGAGAACCTTTTATCGTTTGTATTCAACCTTGGTCGATTTGATTTGAAAGCCGATCTGAATATACCCACTGTGGTTTGCTTGGCTAAGAAACGGTCTTAACCATAAGTACATCAATAAACTAAAAACCTCGAGCTGCCAATATAAAATAAAAAAAACTGAAGCTTCAATTGCACAAGAAAACTATTTTACCGATTAGCTTGCTTGACTTCAATTCATTTTTTTTGAGCGCGATTATAGTTTGTTTTATGCTTTCAGCATCATATACAAATTCTTCAAAGTTTTAAGCCAGCCATTACGGAGGCCTAAAACGCGTTGAGGATATTGGTAACTCACCAACCTGGGATCTAGACTCATAGACTCCGAGTTAAATCTTCTCTCTAAAATTTTTAAGCGAAAATTCTCCAAAAAGAAAAACAACCCAAAGCATTTTATCACTCAAATTCCTGGGAAATTGTAATGAAAACAACTATACGCACAGATCTAATTGATATGGGAAGAACACTGCTAGTACATCAAATGAAATCCTGAATAATGTCTGCCGGTTCCAATCTGTTAAACTCTCAAAAAACCTACAAATAATGCAAAGAAACACTTGAATAATAAAAATTAATTTTTCGTTGAACATCTCTCAAAACAATAAAACTCGGCATTTTATATCGATTAATCGTTTATAACAACAACAACAACCTATAGCTGCAAACTCAAAGCAAGCTCTCAAAACCCTGGTATTTGACCTGGAGACAAATTGCTTTTTTTGGAGGTCAGACTTAATCACGTCTGAACCGTGTTTGAGAAAAAACGGTTAAAATCAGTCAAATGGGTATATAGTCCCTCGAGAATACAATTCAAAGTTCGGAAAAAGTCTTCACGACTTATATAAGAGTTTACACTACGCTCGCCGACTCTCAACCATGGGTTTTGTTTTATGATAAATAGTATGCATTTCAACCTATTGAAATCAATCAAGCCTATCCGACAAAATTTAGAATTGTTGAATTTTTCTCAAAACAAATAATTTATCAAAATTTTAAATTGTCGTATTGAATACACAAAAACAAAACTATGAAGCTTTTCTAATTTGCTTTTAAAAGCAGTAGTTAATCTCACATCAGTTTCTTGCCTGTAATAATTGAGTCCATCTTTCTTAGAACTGGTGAACTGTTTTTTTCTCCTGTTCGGTAAAACAAGAATTGTGGGTGGTGCCGTGAAGACTACTTATGCATGTTTCATATACAAAATTGAAGGGTTTCAAATACATCTTAAATTATTATAATTATATTTAAGTATACAATAAGATTGATCCTTATCATTTTTGACCCTCTTTTTGTAATACGGGTGATGGATGAGTTTGAAGTATAAGAAGTCCGGAATAATTTATGAGCCAGAGCGCCGAAAGGGGAAGTAATTGAGTCAATAGCCAATCGTTATGGCAATTTAACGTAATGACAAGTTAACGGATTCGAACTTGTCCCTTTATTTGTCGTTTCAATCCTTGATGGCTTTGATTCGGAAGTCAACCATTCCAATGTTTGGCTTTTCATGGTCAATGTGCACATTCCTAAACGGAAACGCAAATTTCAAAAAAAACTCGTGGAAAAAAGTGGATCGCGGCACGAGATAGTAGTTTTGCTTTTGTGGATATTTCGAATTTCTTCAAGTTATCTTGCTTCATAGCTACAACTATAAACAATCAAATAACTGCAAAAAGTGACATCAAAACTAGGAATGAAATTTTTCTTGTTCAAGGCACGTGTGATGTAAAAATTCAAGTTCATTGCCCAGTTTTAGACTTACGCAGCCACAATTTGGCAGTTCAACCTGGCCTCTGCTAGATTTTTGAACTCTTCCGAGTTCATCTTGACCTTGGCCGCAACTATTGGCGCAGTTTTGTCCCAGTTGACCCCATAAGTCCAGGGGAATTTGCTGACGTCAAACCCATCGGATGGGTAAGTAGTGGTATCATCGAAAAATTTCTTGTAGTTACTTTTCTGAAAACAAAACAAGCGAAAGATAGTTACAATCGTATCTGTTGTGGTAGACATTGCGCATAAAAATGCTCAAAATTGTAAAGAAGAATAAAGCATAATAAAAATGAGTAAAAAGTATTCCGATGATCAATCATTACGCATCCTGACATCCTTCAGAATTAAAAATAGATTATGGAAAAACAGATGAAATTCGAGAAAAAATATTTAGTTACTTTTCAATGACTAATCAAGGGAGGTGAATTATCTTATACCAGAAGGACCGAATGCCCTCAAAATAGCTCAGCCAGTGTCTGGATCATGGAAAATCTTGCCAAGATTATGTTGAATTTTGAAATACATTATAAAACTATTTTAATTTCCCAGAGCTTGCACAAGAATCCATAATGCATATACCTTCGCGCAAATGTGTTTGTCGACTTTTGGGATCTGAAGTCTTGTCAATTAAACATGGTGATAAGGATCAAGGAAATCTTGAAAAAACCATGACAAATCTTGGCAAGATAGAATGATGTTGAAAAAATGTGATAACTGCTCTTTTACGCCCACATTGGTAAATCTATACAAACTTGAATCTTAACAAAATTCTTTTTGGAACACTGCTTCAGTGTTTTTGTATCTGATTTCCATCATTTAAATTTCAGTTACCAGTAATTTTGTAAAAATTAAGAACTTCATAAATCTCATTGAGGAGTGGTGCCGTGATTAGCACCCTAACCTTTTTAGGAGCTGAGCTTTGTCGAACTTAAATGAATATGAAGGATAAATTTAATGACTAATTTCGGGTGTTTCAATATCAATCTTGAAAACTTCAGTTTCCATTTTCCTATACGAATTTTTGTGG